GCCGCCGCGCCGCAAAGCGTGCTGGGAGAGCCGGCTCGCGCCGGAAGGACGCGCGGGCGCTCGGCGGCGGCGAGGTTATAAAAGGGAAGGAGCCGGCGGCGGGCGGAAGTGGGCGGTTCGGGCTGCTCGCGGCGCTGTTGTCTGGCGTCTGAGCCTCCCGAGGGGCGTTCTCTGTCTTGCCGCCGGTGCAGGCCGCAGTGACAGGGCCGCGCGCCCCCGCGCCCCCGCTCCCTCCCGGTGCAGCGCCGGCTCGCGGCCGCCGCGGCCCGCAAGCCCAACATGGCGCAGGAGGTGGCGGAGTACCTGAGCCAGAACCCGCGGGTGGCCGCCTGGGTGGAGGCGCTGCGCTGCGAGGGCGAGACGGACAAACACTGGCGCCACCGCCGGGAGTTCCTGCTCCGCAACGCCGGGGACCTGGCCCCCGCGGGCGGCGCCGCCTCCGCGGCCCCGGAGGACGCGGCCGACGCCGAGAGCGGGACCCGCAAGCGGCAGCTGCAGCAGCTCATCTCCTTCTCCATGGCCTGGGCCAACCACATCTTCCTCGGGTGCCGGTGAGTGGGGGCGCGCCCCCGAGCCGCCCTCCCCGTTTTGTCTGTCGCCCCCGGGCTGGGGCCCGGAGCCCTCGGCGGGGAGGGAAGTTGCGAAGCGCGGGAATCGGCGGGCCCGGCTGCCCTCTAAGCGCGAGAAGGGCGCCTCTGCCCGAAGCCGACATGATTTGCAGTCTGGAGGTGGCCCTGATGGGTGGGGGCTGCTGGGCGAGCTGTTGGCTGACAACGCTCTTGTGGATGGACGCTGCGTTTAAAAGTTGCCGAAGAGGGACCCCGCCTCCCAACCTTGGGGCGTTTGTTGATGGGCTTCCAGGAAACCGAAAGTTCCTGGCGGTTGGTGCACTTTTTGATTACAACCAGGAAATGCAGTTCCTGTAGCCGGTTTGTGCACACCAGCAGTAGTAGCTTAGAAAAAACACTATTTTTAAAGTGTCTACTCCTTCTTTTTCAGGTACCCTCAAAAAGTTATGGATAAAATACTTAGTATGGCTGAAGGCATCAAAGTGACAGATGCTCCAATCCATACAACAAGAGACGAACTGGTTGCCAAGGTGAAGAAAAGAGGGATATCGAGTAGCAATGGTTAGCAGATCATAGATGTGAACATACATAGGAGTTTAGAACATAAGTTTGATATAATTAGGAATTACCGTTACTACTAATTTTTTAATAAGCTAGAATTTATATAATGTTATTAATCAAGTTGGAACATTAAACCTAAATTATGTGTCTGTGTATTTTAGCCTCTGATTTTGATAGTTTTCTTTGATTGCTTTAGATTTTGAAGTGTCAAATGTTGTCTATACTGTTTATTTTTTATTTTTTTTGTGAGGAAGATTAGCTCTGAGCTAACATCCAATGCTAATCCTCCTCTTTTTTTGCTGAGGAAGATTGGCCCTGGACTCACATCCATGCCCATCTTCCTCCACTTTATATGGGACGCCACCACAGCATGGTTTGAGAGTGGTGCCTTGGTCTGCGTCCAATGGGGAATCTGAACCTTTGAACCCCGGGTGGCTGAAGCAGAGCACGCCCACTTAACTGCTATGCCACTGGGGCTGGCCCTGATTTCTTAATATTAGTAATTAATGATGTTATTCAATGCTGTTTTAAGAAATTAATTTGTTATTATACACTTTTTAAAGAAACTACTAGTTCTGAAATATTTTGCTTTGTGCCTTTATTTTAATGAATATTTGTCTTGTAAATTTTCAGCAGATGTGTATGAGGTAGGCTTAGTCACATATGTTTTCCTTCTTTTTAGAAGGGGTAGAAGAGCCATCGAAAAAACGAGTCATAGAAGGAAAAAACAATTCTGCAGTTGAGCAAGATCATGCAAAAGTTTCTGCCAAAACAGAACATGCATCAGCTCAGCAGGAAGTCAGCTCAACGTGTACGGGGTCATCTGTGAAATCCGAGAGTAGTGGGAACTCAACTCGGAGCTCTGGTACCTCGAGTCAGAACAGCTCGACGAGTGATGGAGATCGGTCTGTTTCCAGCCAAAGCAGCAGCAGCCTTTCCTCTCAGGTAACAGCGGCAGCGTCTGGAAAAGCTTCTGAACCCGAAGCTGCAGATAAACATGGTGCAGCGTCGCTTGTCTCTTCGTTGTTGAAATCCAGTGTGAATAGTCATATGACCCAGTCCACTGAATCCAGACAACAAAGTGGATCACCTGAAAAGAGTGCTTTGGAAGGCTCTTCAGTCTCAGCTTCTCAAAGCCTCTCAGAGATAGAGGTGCCCTTGTTGGGCTCCTCAGGAAGCTCAGAAGTAGAGTTGCCACTGTTGTCTTCTAAACCTAGTTCAGAGACAGCTTCAAGTGGGGTAACTGCCAAAACTAGTTCAGAGGCAAGTGTTTCATCATCCGTTTCTAAAAACAGTTCCTCATCAGGCACATCCTCGCTAACTCCCAAGAGCAGCACCTCAACACACACATCGCTGCTGACTTCCAAAAGCACTTCGCAGGTAGCTGCATCACTGTTAGCTTCCAAGAGCAGCTCCCAGGGCAGTGGGTCTCTCGTTTCCAAAAGTGCTTCCTTAGCGAGTGTGTCCCAGCTGGCTTCCAAGAGTAGTTCTCAGACTAGCACATCACAGTTGCCTTCTAAAAGTACTTCACAGTTAAGTGAGAGTTCTGTTAAATTCTCTTGTTGCAAGTTGACCAATGAAGATGTGAAACAGAAGCAACCTTTTTTCAACAGACTGTATAAAACGGTGGCGTGGAAGCTGGTAGCTGTTGGTGGCTTTAGTCCCAGTGTGAATCACGGAGAGCTCCTAAATGCAGCTATTGAGGCTCTGAAAGCAACACTGGATGTGTTTTTTGTCCCGCTAAAAGAACTGGCAGATCTGCCTCAAAATAAGAGCTCTCAAGAAAGTATTGTTTGTGAATTGAGGTGCAAGTCTGTGTATTTGGGCACTGGCTGTGGCAAAAGCAAAGAAAATGCAAAAGCAGTTGCATCTAGAGAAGCACTGAAGTTATTTCTCAAGAAAAAGGTGGTGGTAAAAATATGTAAAAGGAAATACAGAGGCAGTGAAATAGAAGACCTGGTACTCCTTGATGAAGAGTCAAGGCCTGTAAACTTACCTCCGGCGTTAAAACATCCTCAAGAATTACTATAATATGTCCAAAATATCACTGCATACAGTATCTGGTATTTGACGACAAAAACTGGCTTACTTTTGTACAATATAAAACAGGCTTTCACAAATTTTGTATTGCTTTTTTCCAGTTTTGCAGAAAATTTACATTCTAGTTCTCTTCACACAATAGTTGTAAATAATTTGTGAATGACAGTACACATTAAAAAGTATGCATTAACGGCGTACCAGTATGCTGTTTTTGTTTGCTGAAGAAAATACTGTCTTCTATTTTTAATGATACATTAGGTACGATGTGTAGTTCTGTAGTCTTAAAACTTTTGTACTTTCAATTTGGTGAAAATGTATTGTCTACCATGCATTTTTTTTTCTAGCTGAATAAACCTCCACATCCAAGAAAAGGGGACCATAGTATTTGAATGTCTGAAAGTTTGTGAAGCTTAAGGTTTTAAGAATGTTGCCCATAATGTTGAACGTGTCTCTTAAAGAATAAAAGAAAAAATAGTTGCCTCAGACTATTTTTATGAGAAGTTGTAAGCATTTTTTAGATATAAAGCAGTATAAAGTACTTAAGGTTATTTTATTCTGAAGTTGTTTAAAATTCACCATGATTTTGCTGCAGATTCTTTAAGTGGGTTAATTTATGTTTTGAGGTAAAATACAATTTACACTTTTTCTTAACATAAATGTGGGTTTCTATATTAAGCATATTTTGTGACTACTACTATTAACAGATTGATTTGTTTAGATATTAAATGCTTTAAGCTACTTTACCTTTTCAAGGAGTTGTGTTTTTTTTCCCCCCAAGTCAGAACCAATTACTGCAAATAGGCTTCCTACTACTAGCCACTGTAAACTGCAACCAGGTAATTTTTCATAGCTGATATACAACTTTTTATGGGTAGAGAAGTTACAGTTTGCAAATCTAGAACTAGATGGTTCTTTTGTTTACAAATCCCATAGAAGAATAACTGGGCAGACTAGAGAGCCAAGCTCAGCTCTTCAACGAGCCTGATCAATTGAATTAACATTTGTTAGTAATGAAATGGAATCCTCCTGTGTGTCTTAGGTGATTCTGACTGTATTACTCTATTGTGGTATATTGTTTCATTTTTCTTCAAACTCTGGCCCAAGATGTTTCGTTATTTTTGTGGTCTTCTGGCTTTCTAGATGCTGCACGTTGAGCAGTACTGGTGATAATGTACAGAGAAAAATCAAGAAATGACCTTTTACATTACATGTTTTCATTTACATTTGTATTGGAATAGGAAAATTGAACACAAGTAGCACAATTTAAGTATGTAGAAGTTATTTCTATTTTTATATTCTAGAAATAATAGACAAGGATACTTGATATACTTGAAATCAAGAGTGGTTTTAATTTCACCAGGTAACCTTCAAAAGTGATTCATTTTTGAGGATGTTGAAGTGGATACCAAAGCTAAGTCCATCTTCTGTCAATGGGTTGCCTTTATATGTTGTGAGAACCAATAACAAAGCACTTGAATTACCTCACTTTCGGAATGTGTATTTTGCAGGACAGTGTTGCCAGAAAAGTGAGCTGAATATTAGAAAGAATAATAAATTTCTGTAATGTATCTAATTAAGTGGTTTGGTAATTTCCTAAATTGGCTTATTTCAAGTTAAAGTTTATTGAAAATATTTTAAATTATAGTAGCCTTTTGATATGTTTGAATTTGAGGAAGCTGCTTAGTGTAAAAACAAACACTTTAATTTGTAAACATTTATTTGCTACAATCTTATTAAAAGCTGATAAAATACTCTTAGTCAAAACTTAATCCATTTAAGAGAAATACATATTTTACAGTACTTCAAGATGTGTAGTGCAGAAGAAAACAAGCTTTGGAATCTCTTCTTGAGATAGAATCTCGGCTCCTTCTGGAATTTAACCTTTTAACTTCATCATTTGAAATAGGACTATGAAGATTAAATGTTAAATACATTTAAAGTGCCCTGTATAGTGCAGTATACCATAGTTTATTCATTGCTCATATATGTGTTCTTATTTCCCCACAACGTTATGAGTAGCTATTCTCATTTGGCCCATTTTTCAGATGAAGAAAAAAAAGTATTTTGGTCAAAGATTGAATTCAAGCCTGTATCTGATTCCAGAACCCAAGCTCTTACTATGTTGTATTGCTTAATATCCTTCTCACTTCTCTAAATGCTAAGATTTTAGAAAATCCCCCTCAGACTGCTTTTCTACCCGTTGTAAGTGACAACAATCTTTTTCCAAAGCCTCATTTTCTTGAAATGAGTCACATCAGAAGCTCTTCTGTTTATTAATGCTTCTCCTTAGTACTTGCATGTCTGGAATATTCTAACCAGGGAATTATCCCATATGGGTGCAGTTGAAGTTTGTTTAAAAAAGAACACCTAAAATGATTTGCCACCAAGTTGAGTGAATAAAATAGATTATCAAAATGGGAAATACTGAATTTATTTTTAATCAATGAGGTGAAATGATGTCCTGAGACTGAATTTTCTTGATGGTGCTAAAATCAGGATTTTTTTTAATGGTAAAATTAAAAAGTTGACTTCGAAGAATGGTATTGTCATGAGTTTTTAACCGCAATTCTTGGGGCCTGCTGCCAGTTATTGACTGGGACAGTTGTCATAAGGATATGTGTAATTCCAAGGCTTTTGATATGTATTATCAAAAACCTCTGATTTAAATTATGTATGAAAAAGCATTATTTTCCCTGCCAAGCGCAGCTTTACTTGGCACAGATTTCTCCTTGCTGTTTGGATTCCTGAGTAATGGTAGTGAGAAGGTAAGCAAAGCAGTCATCAACTGAAACCAGGTCAGTCCTACGATTGTGTTGAAATTGTAGTTTAAGGGGAATTTGTCGGCTTTGCCCTCAGTAATTGTGCTAAAGTCCTAGATTGACTCACTTCTTAGACACTGGCAAATCTATGGATATCAATTTTCTGTGGTTGAATGAAAAAGCTCTTTGTAGCTTTCTACCATTTAAACAAAAATAGATAAATGCAGTTGTCGTCGAGCCATTAATTTTCCCATACCCCTCCACAAGAAAAATACTACTTCAAGTTCACACTTCTTGGCTTCCATGGATGCAGCTTGCTATCCAGCTAGAACCATTCCTTTTTACTTTGCTTACCTTATTACCAGCATTAATATCTCCACTTTTCTGTTTTCCCTCTTTAGAAAAACTACTGAAGAGAGGTCATTATCTGGTCTTTTGTTCTTTTGTTGTTTATGCAGCAAGAAAAAATAGTTAGTGGACAAGCTCCCAAACTAAATTGGCTAGCTTGGAAGGGAAGTACAGAAAGGGTTAGCTACAGGACATTCTTAGTGAAAACTAGAGATTTCATAGGCCAGTACTTAACAGAAAGCAATCTAATACTTGTGACTTTGAAACTTTTATGAGTAGAATCAGAATCCTTTTTGGAAGTCATTAAGCAACCAAACTAACATAACATAAACAGCAAATACAATGAACTATGAAATTGTACTATTATATAGAAGTGGAACTACTATATGTATTGTATATAGCTTGACATGAAAAGGAATGCAAAGACAAATGCACAAAAAGAAGAATCACCTAGTGTTTTCCTTATGACTGTTTTCATGTAAATCAGTTTAGCAGGGCTTGGACACTGAAATGATAAAATGCGAGTTCTGAACATGTGATCCATGGTTTTCAAGGTTTCTTTCAGCCATATTTCTTCAAAGACTAATGGGAGCCCTGTGTGTGTAAAAGAGGAGCAGACCTACTTTGGTTGAAGGCGGGCGGCCACACCCCACCACTGAATTCCTTCTACCTTCCTTTCTCAAGGCCTGCAGCACCTTGGACTCTGAGCAGAAGGGAGTTGAGCAACTATGAGGCCCAGTGTAGATGGCCAGCTTTCTTCTGCAATAGGTAATAGAGTGAATGTGGGCAGAAAGCCACCAGATTACTACAAAATGGAAGTCATCTGTCTTGAAGGAATGTGCCATATTAGAATTTGTAATTAGTAGGGACTCAGGTCAGACTTAAGGGCCCATCACAAATTAATATTTAAATAACACTAAAAATAGCTACCATTACTTTCTTTTTTATTGTGAAATATAATTACAGAAGTCCATATATATAAAGCCCACTAATTATTAATTGCGCACATAATGATTACCTAGGTTGTAAAATAAAACTATGTCAGCACAGCAAGAACTCACCATGTGTATATAGCTGCCATTTATTGGGTGCCTACAATATGTTGATGCATTGGGTGTCTTTTTTAAGCCTCCCGACCTGTAAGGTGGGTTGGTATTGTTGATCCTATGTTACAAATGAGAAAACTGATAAGCATTTTGAATTGACAGTCAAATTGCAGAACTAGTAAATGTTGAAGCAGCGACTCAAATCCAGTGTTCGTAGAGAAGATTAAACAATGACTTGGTTCTAATTTGGGGCACTGAACGGGAACGCCAATAAGACGTTTTGTACCGTGATATTTGTTTCCTATGTTCCAGAAAATAGTAAGTATAATTGCACTTTGAGGAAATTTTTGAGAAATTTTATTTAATTAAACTAGGAAGCTTCTAAAGAAGTAAACTTGAAACTGCTCAAATATGTATCTGAAATAATCATTGGAAAATGCTTTCTAGACATTCTATTTATAGAATTTAAAGGGACAATTTACAGAGGCAATGAAATAATGATATAATGAATGGTTGAAACATTATATATCTTATGAATCCTGTCTCATTACTCTTCAGTATTTGTATATTATTATTTTTCTATACTAGCTAAGGAAAAAAAATGGTTCTCATGAAATAAAGACTAATAGAGGTCCGTGGAAGCATTTCTAGTTTCTCATACCCGTGTGCACTGATAGTGGACCATACTTAATGAGGGAGTTACTACACGCTCAGGAACCTGCAGTTCGGAAGCCAACGTGGGGTAAAGTGCATGCACCTTTCTATCCCTGTTTTTCATTTCAACATATTGAGTGCAATTAACAAGAGAAATATGATATAGGTAAAAGAATACTATTTTGAAAACATTCATTCCTTTTCCCTGTAATTCACATTCTCTAGTCATCATTCTGCCATTATGGCTCGTGTAGGGAAGGAGAGAAGGATAATGAGACTTCAGGGAAGTCCATCCCAGGGATAGCAAGGAAGTAAGAATCCTCCCATTCCAGCCCTGGCAAATTTTGAGGAGAAGGGGGAAGAAGGGAACCAGGCATCTGAGACACGTGGGTCCTGACCTCTGCTCTATAGCATGAACTTCACCTGTGTGAGTATTGCAGAGGTGAGAGAAATGACAATTTTCACTTAATGAGCCTGCCTCGTTTATCCTCTGACTGTAATCAAAGAATGCATCACTCCTTAGAAGGGTCCAAGAGATTGAAACAAAGAGGGCTTGAGTAAGAAATACTGAAGGCATCGGGATCTTGAGTCCAGAGCCACTGAGTTGCACAACACCAGGGGGCACCATTCACATGGAATACAATGGATGTCATTTAACACAATAAACGATGTCCCTTGGAGTTGCGGAACAAGGTGGCCCTTTTTGGCCCCTGAGATTGCCGTATGAGTAAACTTACTAGAAAAATCTTTCTTATAAAGGTGATTTGAGGGGCTGGCCCAGTGGCGTAGCAGTTAAGGTCTCGTGCTCTGCTTTGGCGGCCTGGGGTTCGCAGGTTCAGATCCCGGGCTCGGACCAACGCACCGCTTGTCAAGCCATGCTGTGGTGGTGTCCCATATAAAGTAGAGGAAAATGGGCACGGATGTTAGCCCAGGGCCACTCTTCCT